CTTGAACATATTATATTATTTTATAACAAAAATTAAATTATAAACAATTAATAATCATTTCTTTCATTACAATGATTTATAATGTAATAAATAAGAGCTAACGTATTATGCAATAAAAAAGAGACTATATGTTATTATTAACGCTACTTCAAAAAATGTTTTCACACATTAATCGTTAAATATGACATTATTTATTTCACTAATAAATATATAAAATATTCCAAGTAATTTTATTTAAGACAGTCGAACAAAATGAAGCATGAAACGTCCCATAAAACCAATTATAAGTCTCTTAAATAATCAATCAAACACCGAAGAAAACCAACTTGGGATATCGTCGATAAAAATCCCGTAATTTCACAACTTGGAGTCGTTTCGTTCCACATAATGTATTTTATCCTCCCGCGAAGTGACAGCGCGAAATTAAATCAGAAACCCGACTACTATCTCAAAATTACAGTTGTGTAAAACCCAAAACAGAAGGAAAAAAGGAAGAAAGAGGAGAGCAAAGAGATAAAAATAGGGAAAATGTAGCGAGGAAAGAGGAGGAAAATAAAAACGAGAGAAACCGTGACACTCCACTTTCTGCGATAGATCGTAATTGCGAGAACGAGACAGCTAATACCAGTGGTCGCGCTCGAAACCGGAAATTCACCGGTCGCAGTTACAAAGTTTACGCTGAACATCACGCTTGACGCGAGTTACGCCGCCACGGCTCATGCTTTATCGTAGTTTTAACAGCGTCCGGTGTAATTTGAAAATTAAATCTCGGTAAACATATTACCACCGTGTGGACGAAAGCTAATCTGGATTATTGTTGTTTTAATGTTGGAGAACGCAACGATACAGAGGAGTTAGCAGTCCGTTTCAGATAAATGAGGATTTGTTGATAAATGTGTAATTTATTGTTTCTGTCATTTCTAACGTCGAATTTGTTAACTAGGGAGAATGGAAGTTAGGAACATTTCGTGAATTGCGACAAATTCTACTTTGCGATATTTTTGTACGTTTCAGATAAATGAGGATTTGTTGATAAATGTGTAATTTATTGTTTCTGTCATTTCTAACGTCGAATTTGTTAACTAGGTTTCTGAATCCTTGCGAAGCAAACGGGACGTTCTAGCTTTGCTTAAAAGCTGAAAAATACGTGGAATTCGAAATATTTCAGAACACTCTGAAAAATGAAACGAAATGAAATTCACGAAGGTGAATCTATGGAACGGATGAAATGGTCGAAATTTTTTAGTTTAAGATCCTTTTTGATTTCGAGTTTCATCGACGTGGTCCATTTTCTTTCGCGTTAGTCACTTTGTGTACTCTTCAATTTTAATATCTTTTCTATTTCCCTTCAAATCGACCAAAACCAATTAACTTGTTCGAGAGTAGAAATTTAAAGTCCTGGTAACGTCTTGCTAAATATCTTACCCAAATTAATTATCCTTTCTATTTTTCTCGATTTAAAATCGACCGAAACCATGTGAAATTGATTTACTCTGCGATACAACATTTTTCAGAGAAAATTTAGTCGTGTTCGATGGAGGAAAAGAGGGAAAGAACGACAAAAGCTGGCGTATCTGAGGGTGGAAATTTAAAGTGCTAGTAACGTCTTACCCAAATGTCCGCCATATACATATCGAAGCACATAACGTTCAACAAGGAGAAAGCTGACAAAAAAGCGAAGAGCATGGTAAATCCTGAAAATAGAAACACATGATACGATTTAAATCTTGCAGATTTAGCCGTTTTACAGTTGTTTAGATTAATAACGCAAGCTTTTTTTCTCATTTTTAATAGAGCAACGTTGAATTGTTTCGTATAGTTTTGTCGATTTTATCGGAATCGTTGAATCCTCCGATTAGTTTATGTACTTGTACAGATGTTACTTTTCGTATCGTGAACTTTTTATCTGTTTCAGATTGGGTCATTTTTCGAATGAGCTGTTTCGAACGCGTTTATCGGATTCAGGAGATTTTCGATTGATTGAATTTAGAATGGTTCCAAGCGTTTCTACTGGCTTTACAACAAATCCCCGTCGATATTTTCATTGGTAGGATTTTCATTCCTTTAATTTTGTTCTTCATTGGATCTTTACGGAATCGTAAATGTTCGATCTTTGTCCTGTAATTTTACAGATCTGTGATCACACAATATTTCTTTAATTTTTTATCTTTGTACCATATTATTTCGAATTAAATAGAGAAATTGTGTGCTTTTTCCAACTTCACTGAGATTCTTAATTTACAACAATAACAAAAGAGGGAAGCGTTCAAAAATAAATTTCACGTTATATTACGTTTCAAGTTTAATTTCAAATTTGCAGAATTCTTTATTTTTACGTGTAAAGTTGCAGATTTAAATCTTCGGAACTTCTTTTCTTCAACAGGGTTCATTTTTCGTCTAAACATTTATTTCCATGCAGCTACTAAAGTTTATCGGACTTGGTTTTTTCAAACGTTCAGAATAAATAGTATAAATCGAGCCACCGAGCCTTGGCGTCATATTCTTTGCAGGATCATTCAGAAAAATCAGTTTCTTGCGTTTCACAGAGGAATTCGCTTGGAATATATCAAATTTAACGCAATTTCAACATGATCTTTCGAGAAATAACCAAAGATCGGTATAAAACATCGAAAATTCTGAAAAACACGCATACAAACACCTAAACATAGTTAGTGCGAACAAATGGAATTCACCGACTGTGTTTTATATTTATAAATGCAAAATATAAATAGCCTCGTACACGAATCCGCGATAATAACTAAATAACGCAACGTTAAACGTTTTAAATAATTTCTAAGTACATAATTCACAGAGAAAAGACGAAACGTAAACGTTATAATCGTTATAACATGTAAATAGAAATTTCATAATTAGCTAAAAGATTATTTCTTGCAGCATTATTCTTACAAGAATATTCCATGTATATTAATAACGTTATAATAAACAGTAACATTATTTTATTTGATTAAAATGAAAAAATAAATCATTTCGTAACAAGTGTTAACAATTAGGAGCATCATTTGTTCTAAATTTCATTGCAAGATTTACAAGAAAGTATTGCAATGAACAAACGTTGAATAAACATTTAATTTGTATGAAAAGTTAGTTAACATAATAATTTTACCTTCACTATGGCTATTTTTAATAATATGACCGCAGGTGAACCTGATTTTTAATCTTCACGAATTTTCTTTCACTACGAGAAAGTGGTAAGATCGTTAAAACGTAGTTATTTAACGAAGGGTAAACTGCCACCCGACTTTATTAACGTCTTCGCTAATGACTTTGAGGTGAGGGTACCGCAGGTATATAAGGACCCGCCGAGGTTCCACGAAATCATTCACCCTTTATACTGGGCCCTAGACACTTCGAGGTAATTTAGTCTTTAAGGTTCTGAGATGTGAATAGGGTGGTCGAGAGCTACTAGCTAGCCTATGTCCACCCTATACACACTCTGCCTGCTTTTCTGAAACTTCTTAACTAGCATTCTCAATTATCAATACTTGGAAAATTATTGTTAGACTTTGAATTTTTTTCTTTTAAATAAAGTTAAATTGGTCCTGCATTTATCAATGCTTCTGGACAAGTACTTAATCAGACTTTGAATATTCTACTTGAAGTAAATTTTAGTGAAATTCCAAGTATTGATATTTATTAGTAAATTATTATCAGAGTTTGAATACTCGACTTAAAATCATTTCTCGAATTATTAAAACTTTAAATAAACTGCTTCCATTGAATACTCGACTTAAAATCATTTCTCGAATTATTAAAGCTTTAAATAAACTGCTTCGAACGAAATATTATGCATATATTGGAATCCAGGTAGAAAAGTTGACACCGATTATATTTTACCAATATAACGTTTATTTTTAACGATGATATTTGTAATCACGGATTTCGAATTTACAAGGTGCGAACTTCACGAAGAGAAGAGACGTTGTGTTTTTGCTGCTGTGTGCTAGATCGACCGCTCTTAACTATACTCGTTTGGTTTCTATAATGATGGTCTAAGGGATTTTTTGGGTGTACTTATAAGGAAGGGATTTGGGGGAGAAGGTGAACTTGGTTCTGGTGACGAATTGCTGGACAGGACTTCGAAGGGGAACTCAGCGGTCGATGAGTAACTTGTTTTTCGGCGTTACGGGGTTAATCTTAAGAGTGACTTGGGGACTCAATGTCAATAGGCGGTTGGTTATCCAACAGTATATTCAAAGATATATGCAACGATTGTTATTTTTTTTCGTCTTCTGATCATTTTGTATATTGGTCCAAAGTAGGCGTGACGATACTGAGGGCGGAGCTTGCAGCGGTTAACTTACTTCACATTGGTGAATTTAGAAGCTCCCGCCGCCAACGAAGAAGCCGTGATGTCGGGTCTCTTACTGAATTCATCCATATGAGTGGAGGGTGATCTGTCACTAGGTTGAATTGGTGATTATATACATATATGTGGTCTAAAGTGTTGGACGGCATAGATAATCGCAAGGTACTCCTTTTCATGGCCTAGATACGCGACTTCGTGGTGGTTAAATATCTTCACGGCGTGCAAGGTATTCAGGATTTCAATTTCAATCGCTGGGGGTGGAAGCATTACAGTGCCTTCGTCGTCTGAACAAGTGAGGTCGGCGACTCGATATTCGGTTCGCGTGGACATTTGTAGGTGAGCAAGATTGGGACAATTTGTGGCTGGTCCTCGACGAGTCGCCGTTTCCAATCTTTCAACTTCTTGCCGGCACGACAGGCGAGGTATGTACAGTTAACGAAGCACATAAACACGAAAGCTAACTTTATACGAAACTTCGTGGAAACTAATAAAATCACTCTTGAATTTTGTATTACCGATTTTATGATTGCAGATCTGATGACCAAACCTCTGCCAAAAGTAAAACTGGGAAAGTTATCGGATAAATGTGGCTAAGCGTACAATAAAGATCAGGACGACGAGACGTCTTCATGGCGACATGTATGGACACTTTACAATACTTTACACTTATACTTACAATATATTTGTCTCATTATAGCAGAGCAGTCAGTCGCTAATTAGAACTGGAGTACAGTGTATCGTTTGTCAGTCATAAATGAATAAAAATATTAATACATTAAAGAATCTCATCACCTCTTTGCTATTCTGACAAATTCATTACAGCAACTGCTATGACTATACTTAAATTATATAATTACATTCATTGTTATTGTACTATAAATATTTTGAATAAAATACATTTAATCATGTATACCATTCAAATTTAGTATATAAGAT